AGGCTGGGTCAAAAATTCCCTGTAGATGCCGTAGAAACGGGGTCGGGTAGCTGTGTACCACTCCAGACGAGACTCTACCCTTCGGCACAACCTCGTCAAGGTTCCTTTCTGCCCAGAGGCAGAGTTGGACAAGCATACTTGCGAAGTAATACGTATAGTGATCACTTAGACGCCACGCTAATTCCCATATATACATTTTTCTTTACCATCAAGTGATCTACTTATTCAAAATGGGATCGCTTGTGTTTGCTCTCTGGTTCAAACTCCAGTGTCGGCAGCGACACTTTATTCCTATATAACACAAAAGGATTATGTATCCTTTAATAAGCTCAAGTAATGCATCTAATATAGGTGCAGAAGTATATCAATAACTGGATTGGTAGCCATACGTTTTGTAAGTTCACTATGAATTTTTGACACCTTAGACTTCGTTAAGGTAATCAACGAGAAGAAGAAAAGCTCTTATCTGTAGCGGTTTGACTACATCTGTAGCGATATCTGTGTCAGCCAACATCTTGTTAAAGGGATAACATCTGACCTGTTACAAAAATGGTTTCAGACATTTATTTTCTTGAAGATTATCAAATTAGTGAAGTGGATTTCTAAAGTTATTGACAAAAAGTGTCACTGAATTAAGATAAATTATTTTTTAGACAAATATGGCTCGACAAAGAACAATGTACTCTATAAGACAGTGGTTACTACAGCGGAAAACACATGGAGAACCCACGGAGAGTGACGTGAAAGGGAAGACACACCCGTTAGACTGTTCACCTCCCCATCACCTCTGCTTCCGTTCTCTGTTACAACCAGAAAATAAAAGTTGCTTACTGCTCCGAAAGTCGCAAGTTTTAATTTGTGGTGGCAATCTGGTCAAAGGGTTATTTTTAAGCCACAAGCGTTTGATAAGAAGCTGCGCTCTGAGAAAGAGCCTGGTGTCTAGTCTGACTGCAACGTTACACATCCATTTATAATGACTGGCTCTTCTTTCTGACTATATAGTGTTTTTGCTTAGAGAATTGAGCCTGTTGAACGTATTCCCCCACTTTAAAAATTTAGTACACAGGGATTGCTTTGTATTTTAAATTGATATCATAATGATCATAATCGACAACAAGATGGCGGCTAGCATGTCTGTATTATAGGAATAAAGTGACGCTGCCGACACTTCAGTTTGAACATAGATCTCCAGTGAACAAACACTGGCGATCACATTATTGAATTAAGTAGACCACATGACCATAGAGGAAACGCATGAGTAGGAATTCGCATGACGTTTAAATGATCGTCATTTCTACTCTATCCTCTATCATTATACGGACCGCTATTCGCTACTCTACTCATTATAATATTTCTCTATACAGATCACTGTAGGGATTACTATTCGAGCGAGCATTATTGGGAAAGTACTATTAGTGTGAGCGTTATTCGAAGGCGTCTGACATCAGCGTTCTGTCGTTCACTTTCTGAGCGACGGTTCGGTTCAACTCTCTGTCTACGGACGGAGAGGAACCCGAAGGAGGCTACGCCGAAGGGCGGAGTCTCCTTCGGGGAGGTAAAACCGGCCCTGAACCCGTTTATACGGGTTCAAATGGGCTATTTTTTGGCCGAGCCTAATGGCTCGGAAAGCCCACGTTAAAAAGGCCTTGTGCCACATGACGCCCTCGTGGGGGGACGACTAAATATAGTCTGACATCAGCGTTTTTCAATGGCGTACTATAGTTGTAATCTGTGATTACAAAGTCTCTACTATATCGGGTATTACGAAAGTGGCAACGAGTGTTTGTTGACGCCACAAAAACGTCTGTATTCAGTTAAGCACGGGATTATTCATATGTCTGCATAATTTATGATTCTTAATCTATAGTCATGACGGGATCGCATTTATTCATTAAAGGAACTGACCCAAATTGACATCAAGCAGGAAGAGAGTTTAAAAAAATTACAGTGGAACTACGGTTCATGAATTTAATCCGTTACTGAAGGCCGTTCGTAGCACGTAATTTTCGTAAACCGAAACTATTTTCTTCATAGCAATGGATTAAATGGATCTTCATTAAAATGCATTAATCCGTTTCTGAACAGTAGGTGATTGCTTATTTAAACTCTTACAACTGCACTTTGTGCACAAGTTCATACATAAAAGTCGATGAAAAACATTAAATACAACACGCGCAAAAAAATAAACAATACTACTCAAATAGAAAATAAATATAGCTTAATTTAATTTAATGGCGTTAAATGGAAGGCGTTAATGGAGGGGAGTGATGTCATTATTTGGAAGAGGAAGACCCTTCTATAAACTAAAAAAAATGTCAAGTAACAGTATGTCTCGGTTTTCTTCTTTTTCTGTTTTCTGTCTCTTAGGACCATTCAACTCTACTTTAGACACACAGCTTTCTGCCCCAATGAAAAATTGACCAATCAGAATTGTTTTTGTCTACGTTATAAAATGGCATTGTCAGTGAAAAGGTTAATGCTGTGGTCTGCTGCTGATCCA